GGAAAACAAAAATGTGTGCTCAGTAAACTACAAGTTATAATAATAAATTTAATCAATAATGCTAGAGGAAAGAACTTGTTCATTATCTTCCTAGTCTCTATGTAGGAAAATATTACAAAAATTTTATGTAAAAAGAGGGAAGCAAGAAAAAAATCTAAGAGAAACAAGTATTTAAAGGAAAAAAAATCCAGGCAGCTAACTAATTAAAATATATTTATGTGTATTTTGTAATGGTACTTATATTTGTCAGTGTTCCAAATACAATTATTTTCAAGCTAACGATATGTTTTTCATCATTTTAAAAATTCACTTTACATATGCACGGGCCAGACATTGTGATGTATGCCTGTAATCACAGAGCTCGAGTCTGAGTCAGGAAGATCGCCACTTGTCTGAGGCCACTCTAGCTACATAGTGATTTCAAGGCCAGCCTGGACTAGATAAAGACCCTGACTTGTAAAACCAAAATAAATAAATATATATACATATATATGTACATGTATAATATGATCACTGTATTTTTCATTAAAGAGGTTCTATAAACATCCAAGGCCAAAACCCAGTACACCCTTACCCTTTTCCTAGTAATTGTGAAACAAAGTGAAATAAAGTTTCTGTAAGGAAATGGACTTCACAAATGCTCTGTTCATTACAGGAAAGTTCATGCTGGGGTGATAAGGGGCAATCATCTGAGACAGAGCTATGAATAGCAGGGGAGATGCCTGGGATGGGTGTGGGAGAGGTTTCTTCTTAGTAACACAGGTCACTGCTCCTGTGAGGTACCTGCTAGATTCTGAAAGCCTAAAGTTGTATGTAGCAGTCCCTCGAAGAACACCAGCCCAGGTAACACCAGGACCCTTATTACATAACCCTTATAACCAGGCCTGGTAGTGCACAGCTGGAATCACAGCACTTTGGGAGACTGAGGCAGGAGGACTGAGGCCAGAGTTCAAGGCCAGACAGGGCAACTTAGCCACTTAGTAAGACCCCAACTCAACAAAATTAATAAAAGGGCTGGGGATATATCTCAGCGCAAAGACCTTGGTTACCATGGGGAGAGGGCTGGTCAGAGGTGCTCAGAACACCTTGTCCCTGTGTCCTGGAGAACACTTGGGAAGAGGGACTCCAGGCAGACAGCCTCTCCAGGTGCTACCCCACTTGCTCAGGGGCAAGGTGACAGGAGCCAGGCTGGGGGCAAGGGGTGGCAGAGAGAATGCCAGGGAGGGATGGAGCTGAGAAACAATGCCAAAGGAAGGTGTAGTGGATTAAAAACAGGTGGTCAACTTAACACCAGCTGAACTGAATCAGTGTGGTGCTGAGCATGGCTGGCCCTCCTGAGGACAGTTACCAGCATAAAAACGAGACCCAGAGAGGAAGCAATACCATTGTGGGTTCTCCTAAAGTGTTATTGTTACTTGGAGCCATTGATTCTCCTGGAGAAGCTTGTCATGCTGGCTTCCTGATATGTACTTGGCTGTTCTAATCATCATCATCAGAGGAGCTCAAGATCTCATCGTTACTGAGGATGGCTGTGGTACTTTCGGGGAAGCCCTGGTCCTTATTTTGAACATTGCTTCCTGGCTCCAGTGCAGAACCCTCAGCCTGCTGGCACAGATCCTTCACCCCACTGGCTTCCACTGCTGACCTTTGAGCCTTCCCAGTGCCAATCCATGAAACAGACTTGCATGAGTGAATGTCATAGGCTCCAGGCCTCCAGCTGAACTCATAGTGGGTATTTTCATGGGCTCTAGGTCTTCAGGTGGACTCATGCAGGATTTTGCCATGAATCCAGGTCTTCAGTGTGTAGACAGATTTCCTGCACTTCTTGTATTTGACTCTGAGTAAGTAGCATAAAATACTCCTCTAAATTATGTGTCCTGTATGTAATTGCTTTCCTTGCAGTCCCTGACTACAACAGAAGTATTTTGGTGTGTGTGACTGTGCATGTGTGTACACATGTGTGTGTCAACGTCCATTGAATTGCTAGCATGCAGCAGATACTTTATGGACTACTTCACACAAGTTTCAAACAACCTGGGAAGACAGAGGTTGCTGTCTTTATGGCACCTGCAAGGACAGGAGGATTTCTGTGGTGAAGATACTCAGGCACCAGGATTCAGGCAAGGCACCCCGCGAGCGTGTTCATATCAGGTGTGTACATTTTCCACACATACACAGAATGAGAGAGAGAGAGAGAGAGAGACAGCCCTGAGAAGAGATCTAGGTCTGTAGCACAGACACGATGGTTGAGCAGGAATACAGTGGGTTCCCCCGAGCACTGACTGGGGATGCATCAGGAAAGCACCTAACTGTTGCTCTCTTGCCATCACCTCAGACACTCAGTGACTCAGTACCCCCACAACACAATCACGTTCTCCAGTGGACACCAGATGCAGGTCCTCTGATTCAGTGTAACCTGGTGCTACCTACCTGACCATAGCCTCAGGTCTTACAAGTCAAACGCTCACTCCTCAAGACCACCCCCATAGCAGATCCAGCCACACTCCCCACAGTGAATGTAGCCTTTGCCCCTGATTCACTGGCTATAAATCGGGGTTCCCACAACCACCTCCTTGGATTCACTTAAATTGCTAGAGCAGTTCAGGGAGCTCAGGAAAATGCATTTACCCCTTTGTTATGACAGATATGGAGAAGGACATGAATGAATGAACAGATAGCAGAGGCACCTGGGGCAAAGTATGGGGAAAGAGGCCTGGAGCTCCCCTGCCTTGTAGGGAACCTCTGTGTCCAGCTATCCAGAAGCCCCCTCAACACTGTCTGGGGATTCTTGTGGAAGCTTTATTATGTAGGCCTAACCGATAGGTTATTGGCCATGATGACTAACTTAGCCTTCAGTTCTTCCTCCTTTTTAAAGGCAGGACTAGAAGTTCCAACCCTCTGATCTTGCTGATTCTTGGTCTTTCCAGTGAAATGATCCTAAACTATCATGCGGAGATAGAGACAAGCACAGCTTTTAAGCTTTCAGCATAGAGGTTGAGTGAAGGCACAGAGAAGTCCACCGGAGAGCTGATTGGAAAAGTAGAAGGGAAAAACAAGATATTTTGTGAAACTACCTAAAGCTGCCAGCCTTTAGTCATTTCACCAGCATGGGAAAGACACTCACCACCCTGGGGATTCCAAGGCATTTTGGAGCTGTGTAAAAGGGAACAGGGACAAGGCCTAAATATATATTTTACAACATCACAGGGAGAAGAGGAATGGCCTGTTTTAAGAGGAAAGCTTTTGGAGATAACAATTTCTGTCTGAACAGCTGGAGTACAGCTTCTTTCTCCTTGTCCTCCCAGGTGGACAAGTATTTTTGAGCCCCGGGACTTTGATAGAATCATTCTCCAGCTGGCCTTGACATTTTAAAATCCATTCCCAGCCTGAATTAAGCAGTCTTCAATTCTTAGATATGAAGGCTATTGCAAAAAGATTGCAGGAAGCAGCTTGTTTCAGCTTTTCTTGTGTGTCGCAACTGACTTTCTAGGCCAAAATACTAGACATGAACAGGCTTTCCCTGTCTCCTGAACTTCCACAAAGAATCCAGCTCTACCCCCGGCCACATGGCATCATGGTCAACATCCGATGTGAGCCGATAAAGTGCGATTCCTTCATAAGCGTGTCCTCCACTCTCTCCAACTGTCTGGCATGGTCTCTGGAGACAAGTCAAACACTGGAGTACTCGGGGGGGAGCTACTTTTGTTCAGTAAGGGAGGAAGTGTGGATAGATTTCAACATTTTACATTTGAACAAAGACATGTCGATTTGTTTAAATATTTTCCGACACATCAGTGTCAGCATCTTATGTTATAATCTGTCAAAGACAACTCACTATAAAATAGTCTTTTTTCAAAACTCATAAAGGCTTATTACTTAACATTTTCCTTCTCCCATAAAGAGAAAAAAAAACCAAGATGTTTAAAGGAAATGAAAACGGTGCTGTTGCAACAGGAAGCTGACTTTGAGGATCCTGAGAATGTTATTAACAGTCTGAGGAAATTACATTAAAAATGAAAGTCTCACTGTCTGGGTACTATTGTTGAATTTTCAAGTTGTCCAAGTGCTATGTGAGCATTGTAAAAAGATTTAAATATTATCTAGTGATACTTCTAGAGTACCCATTTCTTCAGAATATATCTCAGATTGTTGTGAAAATTACACAAAAACTTGTCAGCATAAAACACAGTGCGGCTTTCAGAGATACTGTAAAGAAGTTAGACTGTGCTGTCTGTCATCACCCTTGCCTCTCCATCACCACTTAGAGCAATGTAACATTCATAATGCCTGTAACAGAATGAAAAAATTACTAGACACCTTTAAAAGGCAGAAAAACTAACCTATAATATTCACAGAAACATTGAGAGGTGACTCATGTACTTAGTTGACAAAGGCTTTAAAACTGCTGTCAAGAAGATGAACAGATGCGTAATCTCAGCAGAAAAATAGAAATTATAAAAAGTAGCTATGTGGAAACTGGGTAACTGGAAAACATAATTTGAAATAAAAATATTACGTTTGAATTCCAAACAGAAACGTTAGAAAATAATGATCAGAGGCTTACTGATCTGTGTAATATCATCAACATAACATACAAATAAATCGAATCCTATAGAGGAAATAAATAGCAGAGCAGAATTTTTTTTGTTTTTGTTTTTGGCTTTGAGATAGAGTCTTGCTATGTAATCCAGGCTGGCCTTGAACTCATTATGTAGCCCAGGTTGGCCTCAAACTTTTGGTGAGCCTCCACTCCATCTTCCAAGTGCTGGGATCACAGAGGTGCACCATTACACCCAGCCAGAAAAATATTTAAAGAAGTAAGGATCTAAATCTTTTCAAATGTTAAATAATTCAACTCATTGCTCCAATAAGCTCAGAACCACAATAAGGCACATCAGAATTAAACTTATGAAAACCAATGATAAAAAGGAAATATTACAAGTAGTCAAAAATAAAAGAAACTGCCAGGCAACAACTATCATTAACTGTTTATCATTCAAAATATCATATCAAAATAATCATTAACTGCTTATCAGATTCAAGGTCGACCAAAATATAATGAGGCAAGATCTTTAAGGCACTGGACAAGGAACTCTTACCTAAATTCTACATACAATTAAAATATTTCCAACCAAAAAACAACTGTTTCAAAAAGTGAGGAAAAAAATGAAATAAAGATATTTTCATATAAGCAAAAGCTGAGGGAATTCACTACCACCAGATCTGCACTTCAAGAAGTACCAAAGGAAGTTCTTCAATTTAAAATTAAATCATAACAGAAGGGAAATATGCCCCTAATCAATGAAATGCACTGAAAATCATACATATTTGGATACAAACAAAAGAACATTTTCTCTAATTTTCAAATTTATTGACAAGACAACCAACTATTTAGAGAAATAGTTCACCATGCACCGTAAATATCTGTGTAAATCTTTGTGGTGTGTACCACATTACAAAGCTTGCCTGCCTTCTGGTCAGAAGTGGTTGTGTAGCTACTTACAGTAGTAACTAGCAAGTCAGTGTCCGTGTAACTACAGGGAAGCTTCCCTCTTACAGTGACTAGAAGATTGGATGCTCAGCTTTATTTTTTCAATGCTAATGCGATGTCCTCAATCTCAGGGTCCTTGGCTGTATCACAAAATTTCTGCATGAATAGCACCTGAGCTCATACTGGATCCAAGAGCAAGGGGAGTCAAGGTAAGCCTGCTGGTCGTCACGTTGCTCTTCGTACGATGAGTAACACAGCCCTTTGTCTCATACCTGGGGTCTCATGCCTTTTGCCAGCACCTGTGAAACAAATTAATTCATGAGCTTGAGAGTAGACTATGTCTCTAAATCTTCAGTTATGGACAGTTGGTTAAGCAAAGCAACAGCACGAATAGTAACAGCGATGCATTCTTCACTTTTATAGACTTGTAGAAGTTCATATGTACCGCAGAATACAGAATGGGAACTCTGCAATGGAAACGTATTGCTTCAAGGTTTTCTTGGACACACACTCTGACTCCTAGAGCAGCACAGCCCAATAGGAATACAAAACGGAACACAAACTATTGGGGTCTGTGCCTAGATCCTCCACCCCTTAAAAGGGTGCATGGTGACAGCTCAAATGAATGAGACACACAGCATGATCTTCAGGGCTGCAGAGGACTGACAATCCTAGGCAGAGCTCGTAACCCTGCTAGCCGGCCGACTGACGCTGGGCAGCCTGTATTTAATCAGAAAAAGCAAGGAGTTGAGTGGACAATGGAGGAAACCTGAGCAGGATCTTGGGAGGGGCGCAAGGACCCCTCAGAGAAACAGATGATGCTAATTAAGGAAAACTACCCAGAAAGTCTTCAGGTGGGCTCAGCTATCCTGCACCGGAGGTGTCTCCTCTCCAGTTCAATCATGCCCCACGCCATGCCACAGCCTGTATGTGTATTCAGCTTCACCAGCTCCAACAAAAGGATTTGGATGTCACTTTTAGTTGGGAGTCTTGGCTATGACATTCCGAGACCTTAAGATAAACTACTCAGTACTCTAAAGTTCCATTTCTATATCTGCGTCAGATGTGTTATATAATACCTACCTCAAATCTGTGTAAAAATTGTAAGTTTTCTTTATCATTGTTTAATAAACTAGTTCTAAGGGCAATGAATGATGGTCCAGACACCAGTGAAGGTCCCAAGGATTAAAGGGTAAATGATAAAATCATTTGCTTCAACAAAGAAGCCGGACACATAATATCTGACTGCCTCCCTAAGTGACTATTGAGAGGCTGAAGTTAAAAAGAAAAATAAGGAGATGTGAGACATAACTAGGGTTTAAAAAAATCAGTGAGCACTAAGTATTTATATTATAGTACGTAATCTCTTTTCCTTGGCAAAATACAGCAAGCAAGCATCCTGGAAAAAAACTATGAGTCTGACCTAGGCATTCTGTCCAAAATTTAGTAGATTTTATTCTACCCCTGAGTAGGGAGCAAATTAGAAGACCAGTGTTTTACTTGTCTACCAAGCTTAAATTTCCTGAAGCTTGTTCAGTACTGTTAGGAACTACTATCTTTTTGTTATGTTTCCTTCACTAGCATCAGTTTTTAAATATACTACACATGTCACATATGGACCCCAGCCCCAAATTTAAGAGCAAGCATTGCTCCCTGATGAGGGGCAGCAAGGTTTTAGCACCACATGTGTAACAAACACTCGTCGTGTGTGATCAGTCTTGCCATCCTTCTAAAGCTGCAACTTCCTGAATGAAGCATCACGTGACAGACAAGGGTCTAGGACCTACCAAGGTCACACAGTGAGCAGTGCTGGGACCAGAACACAGAGTGATCTGTTTCACTCCAACCTCTTTTGCAACCTGTCCCTTATAGACTCCTCTCCTCTCCTGGATGCGCAGAGAAAGCAACTGTGGAGCCATATGACTTCCTATTTGTTCAAAGTACAAGAAATCGGTCACATATCTCCTGTTGTTCTCATCAAACACCCTCAGGTCCCCAGGAAGCTGTGTACTCTAAGCGGTAGCTGTAACAGCAGCAGCCATGGTCCAGACTTGACAAGAATAGTCGATTCTAAATACTCTGTAATGCTGTCATTCTCTTAAATGGTTTTACATTGTTTTGATATACTTAATGCTACAGTATACGAAGTTGTACTCAAGGACTTCAAGGAAAGAGTCAATATGGTAACTACTTTTGGGTCGGAATTATCTGGTGGTGAAACACTATTCTGCTTAAATGGTTATGTTTTGATCTGCGATGTTTCGCTGTTATGCCCTCTTTTTTCTCAATCTCCACTCCATTATTTACTTTTTTATTTTTATCCGTTTAATTAAAGGGAAAAAATAGCAGGATATAATATAGTAACCCACTTTGACTTTCTATTATCTCGATTTGAAGCCCTGTATTACTCTCACCATCTTGTTTTTGACTGATGTTCCCCTATTCTGTTTTGCTGGATAGTATCAGGTTCGAAAGTTTAGGCATCAGCTGTGAAGATAATGAGATTCATTATAACACCCATTCTCGTTGACTTTTATCTACTTTTGAAGACCTACAATGTCTCCAATGGTTTGGTTTTGTCGGTTTTGTTCTTTACTGTTTTGTTCAATTGTATTATAACTAATGATATAGGCAATTCTATTAGAGATAGCGGGAGGCATTATGGTAACCATTGTTGATCACCTTGTATTATGTTTTTATATTATCTATTATGTCCACCCTTTTGACTTGACCGATTCTGTTCTGTTATGTCTCATTTGGTTTTACTCTCTTCCAAAAAAGCAATAAGAACCGTGGGAGCAATGAAACCCAAAACGTGTAATAGTCATTGTACAAAAGAGAGGAAAAGAAAGTGCTCTGAACTATATAACTGCATGTATATTTAAGTGTAAAAGATAGAAAATGATATCACAGAGTTTTATTGGATCATTGAACAGAACTGTTTGCAGTATCATTGTTGGAATGTCCACTCTACAAGCTTTAATTTTGTGACTTGAACAATTATTTCTAAGATGGCAATATGTAATCCATTAACTAATGATTTCCTACTGTTCATTTTTTTCTTCTGTAATTCTGTATAACTTGTACCCTTTCACTGTTTTTTTTTTCTTTTCTCCTTAAATAAAAAATTAAAAAAAAAAAAGCGACCTACCCTGAGGATTCACCTCTTCCACAAGACTTCTCAGTTAATTGCCTACAAATATCGAGAAGTTACCCCAGAAAACACAACCTCTTATGTCAAGAATTCCTTGTGTTTTTATTTATATAAGCACCATATGGTTTATTAATAGATTGCACCATCCGCAGAGTAAATTTAAGTCCCGAACAAATCTCACAGCAGGATTTTCTCCTGCACTAAATTCCAGAAGTCTATCCAAGGACAAAGAGCATGGTGCAAAACGGAGATGACAGTAATGTTTGTTAAATGGAATTTTATGGCCTAAATTCAGCAGTCTCTTACTTTCTAGTTCTTTCATTCAAATTTGATATTATAATAGAACATCAGACATTCACCATGAATAAGAATTTTCAAAGGAAGAAATAGAAATGACCAGTAATAAAAATACAAAAAACTTTTGGTTGTGATAGTACCAAAATACAAATAAATAGAAGACAAACCAGTGTCTGTCTACTAAGTTGACCAAAAAAGTTTAAATAATGATGCCCAGCTGCTGCCATGATTGTTAAATTCTTCAATACACCTGAAAAGCCAGATGATTACAGATACAAAAAGCCTTAAGTGTCTGCAATTATTTTCACCAAGAACTTCACTTTTAGGGATTTACTCCAAGGAAGTTAATCATGGCAAAAAAAAAAAAAAGCTACCATAAGAAAATTCATTATAATATTATCTTCTGTTATTTTTCTATTAATGACTGATTAAAGTATAAATTGATAAAATAAATCACAATTAATTCATACATTGTAGTATTATATAGTCAGTCATTAAAAGTTATCCAATAGAATTCTCATCGTAACAGTGTGTCAGAGTATGCACAATGTGTGCAGTATGATTATGTGTGTATTGAAATGATGTTCCACAAATGTGAGATTATTGAGATTAGAGGTGATCATTTTTCCTTTTTCTTCAGTTTTCCTGCCCCAAGGAGGAGAGTTAATCTGCGTATCCCAAAGGTTGTATTTGCTTTAAATGTATTGCTTAAGAACGAAAAGCAAAGAGGGAAAGGAAGCTATGCTCTGGCTCTGCACTTTTTTAATTTCTTGGGTGGGGAGGGAAAGTCCTTGCTCAGCCTTGCTGGTGACAGCCCCACTGAGTTCAGAAGTCCAACAGCCCAAAAGACAAGCTTGCTGGACTATATCATCTTCTGCCTTCAGCCATCAGTCTAAAATGTTTTATTGATACAGACAGATTCTGGGCATTGAGAATACAAAACTGAGGATGAAAAAGAGGAAGAAGGAAGGATGAAAGAGAGAGAAAAGGTTAAAAAAAAAAAAAACAACAACAACAACAACAAAAAAAAACCAAGATACCCTGGTATGTTATGTACAAGTCTATCTTAGTTTTCCACTGCTGCAACTGAATTCCTGAGACTGGGTGATCTATAAGGAAGTTTATTTCTTACAGTTCCAGAGACTAAGAGGCAGGGACCTGCTGAGAGAATTTCTTGCATCAAACCATGGCACAAGGCATCACATGGCAACACAGAGCAGAGCAGCTTTTACAGCAAAGCTATTCCCTGACAAGATCATTTGCCCATAAACATAATAACCCACTCACAAGAGGCATATTACCCAATCACCTTTAAAGGGTCCGATCTCCGAGTACAACTCACACATTTCTTTGGGGACCGAGTTTCCGAGGCTTGAATTCTGTGGACAGACATTCAAACTGCAGCACTGAGCTTAACTGAGGGACTCCGAGCCACGTGGTGGGAAGACAGGGTGCTCAGGGCTGTGCAGATCCATCTGAGATCAGTCACCCAGCCCAGGAGAGCAGCTCATCCCGAAGCAGCCACTGAGCCAAACCATCAAAGCATGTGCGTTAAGGAGAGGAAAGGGTTGCAACCACTGCAGAATGTGTGCCCAAGACACTCCCCAAGGCCTGGGGAGTGGTGGGCCAGCGAAGCTGAATGCTGAGAGCCAGGGCCGCTGGAGAGAGACACCAGATCCAGAAAGGGCTTGGGAGGCTCGTTTAGGGGACACCACTGAGAGCCTCTGGCGAGGTCTCCTCTAAGATTCACATTCCAAGCATGTAACTCTGGGTTCAGACTGAGGATGGATTTGAGAGCTGGCCATGGTCCGTCCTCGAGACCTGTTAGTGTGGAGTGGGGACAATGGAGAGAGACACACCAGCACAGAGTAAGGGATCTTCCCTCCGTGCAAAGGGCTTTGTGAGGACACATTATTGTTCCATGGCTTCATCTTTCACACTCTAATGAAGGTTCTCTGATCCCACACTAGAAACCCAAGACAAAACAGACCAGATTTCGGGCAAGAAGTGACAATTGAGGGCCTTAGACTTAGTTAAATCCCAGGTAAGCAAAAGCCACAGCCTCAGAAAGTAGCATTTGGCAGGAAAATGCAAAGCACTTTTCTCCACCTTAGCAAAGTGCTGGCGCTCCCAGAAGGCAGCTACACAGGGAAAGCTCAGTTTCCGAATGTTAAGCGGCTTGGCATGAGATCTAACTTCTAGTTTGAACAGTGTCCTGGGAGACAAGAAAGGTGTCATTCACGAGACCCCTTAAAGACCCATTCTGCCACCAGCTACCTCATGCAGCCTGTCTTCTGCAACTCAGACTCCTGTCTTGCATCACCACTTTACCTTCTAACAAGTCATACATGTCCACGCATTTAGTCATTCACCGTGGAAGCCATGGCCAATGACCAGTGTCTACAATCCAGATGGCAGAGAAGCTTTGGGTCTCCATGCAGTGCCTATTATCTTTCCTCTGAAAATAAAAATATTAATATAAACCATTACCGTTTCTTCTTTACCTTTTTATAGGTAAAGAAGCATGCACTCAAGGAGACCATGCCTTGCCAATACCACAGAGTGGAACCAAGATTCAGTACACAACTCTCTGATTCCAAAGTCTAATTCTTTTGCAGTGTTCCAGTCTGGCCTCTCCACATGGCACAAAGAGAAGCCTGGACTACGCCTGCTCCTTGAAGCCTCAGAGGCCAAGTCTCACCCCTTTCCAAGAAGCGGGTGAATGGTTTGCTTTGGCATCAGTAAAAGTACGCTAAGCAAGCCAATGTGCAAGGTTGGGCCCTGAAGTCCATCTGACCTTCAGTGACCCTACCGCATATATGATCTTGGACAAATTATTAACTATTCCTCAGTGTTCTCAGCTGGAGGAGGTCTTAGAATCTTTTTACTGAAATTCTGGGCACAGATGTGTCTTAGAAATCAGCATGTCTGATATAGAATGCAAAACCCACTAATCAACTGCATGAATATTTTTGTAATGAAAAAATTAAGATTCATGTAAGGGGGATAAAAGAAAACTATAGTATCATTTGTTTAGAAGGCAATTTTTTCTCAGCAAAAGAATACCTTTACAGAAAAAAGAAAAGAAAAACACTTTCAAGGCTTTGAAATTTCTGGTTTGCAGAGAGGATACAGTGGGGAGGGGACTGCAGCTTGTGGGACTATTCCACTTTGGAAGGCTGTTTTGGGGCTTAAAGGAGTGAGAAAATGTGCGTGCATGCACCTGTGCATGTATGCCCAGGTGCGTACGAATACACACATTTAAAAGAATGTCTGGTACATAATTGGGGTCAATGCAATCTGGTTATTTTTTTATTCCAAAGAGGAAAAAATGCAAGCAACTTCAAAGATTATTATTTATATGTCAAAATTGCTGCAGGGCAAGTTTAGTACTCTGGGCACCAGAAAACTCTCCATAAGCTCATTTCACAAAAATTCTTTGTGGATCCAGCAGTCACTACTAGAAGAAAGAAGTCCAAATAAAAAACAACCCCAGAAGCTGGGGAGGGTATGCTAGTGGTAGAGAGCATGCTTAGAATGTTCAAGCCTTGAGTTCAAATCCCTAGCGGAAGAAAGAAAGAGGAAAGAGATCGAGGGAGGGAGCCCCCAGGGATCTGGCTCAGCTTTGCATAGTCCTTTATTCCAGCTGCCACCTGCCCATCCAGCAAAACACACTCTTCAATAATTTGGCTTAAATGTGACAAGGGCAAAGCCCATGGTGGCAGCTAGAGATTCTTTAGCCAACCAGAGGTAAAGGTGCATTCCCCAGCCACAGCTATGGTTCCGCCGACAAAAGCAGATTAGTGCTGCTGCTTCACAATACGTGAAATCATTCTCCCATTCTTTGGTACATTTCTGGTTTTCTCCATGATGTTTTCCTTAAGTTTTCTGAAATCACTTCCGTCTTGTCAGGATGAAAGAATACTGAAAGCATTTTCAATTGGCGCAGCAGCATTTTAGCTGCAAGTTGTTAATCTGTCCCATGCTGTAGAGAATTTTTATAGAATGAGCATCAGTCCTTTCAGACCAGACGTCCCTCCCCGAATCTCAGAGCAATTTTTTCCACTTCAATCAGAGACTGCTGCAATTTATTGCCCTTTAAATCATTGGAAAATTGATCAGACTGATCTATACTACCCACCTCTTCCCTGGCCCAGCAAATGTGTTCCACTAGCAAAAATCATTTTTGTTTATAATTTGTCATATAATTTATAGATCCATTTAGAAACCAAATACTTTGCATATTATGTGTCTGTAATAATTAAACATTAATAATGATAACAAATAGAACAACAGAGGAGGAGAGTGGTTTTTCAGATAAGTCTTATGCAGCTTATTCATCAAACCAAACAGTTATTCGAAAGCCCTCATGAACTACTAGTCTGGGGAATTTTTTAAAGTTTATAACACATATGCAACAGCCAGTTGAGTATATTTCAGAACATTCACCCCATTTTTTTATATAGAACCCAAGCACTTTTTCAACAAGCAAAGTCTATTTTCTTTTATTAAACAATTTAATTGAACAAATTTGTTTATTGCCTGTGGCTTCCCACTAGAATGTAAATGCTATGAAAATAAGATCTTTGTTTTGCTGTACCCTCGGTACTCGGAACCATAGCTGGCATGATGGAGATGCTTAATAAATATTTGTTGAATAAATTATTGACTCAATCTGAGGCAAGCTGACAAATTTAGAAAGCAGGTGGCTGTTCTTTGTATAATTCCACCAGGTCCACGCATGTACTGTGTAGTATCCAGATCTCAAGGAACTACGTGGGCATCTTGCCTTTTCCTTGGGTGAGTGACAGATTGTAAGACTCTCCTGAAAAGCTCAGTAAGATGGCACAAATCCTGAGATACCTGTATAGCTCACACAATAGAGGATGTGAAAGTATTTGCAAAAACTCACCCACTGGGGGATGATAAATGGTGTTACACAGGAAGTGGTATGGCTTCCTGACTCCTCACAATGGGGGAGCAGTTTTCAGGTTGCACTGAACCTGGAAAACAAAAGCAAAGTGAGATCCAGCCTTCTCCTTCCACCGTAATGTGCAGAGATTCAGCGATAGGCCCGGGGAAAGGAGCAAAGCAGATGCACCAGGCAAAGAGAGACTTTTGTCTAACACACAGGCATACATTACTTAACTCTGGGATACACTGTGAGAAATCTGTTGTTGGCAATTTAGTCACTGTATTGAACATCACAGGGCACATTCACACAAACTTAAGTGGTGCTGAAGGTTTGCTCCAGCAAGTACGTCTTCCCCAGTATCTCTGATCTAGAGTTTTCAAAACTTCAGCTGCTTTCACATCTAAGCTCATATACTCACAATGCACTGAATAAAATTGTTGAATCATTTAAACCGCCAAAGCTAGTGGTAATTTCAAAACTGCAGTTGGGCCCAGCCTTTCATTTCAACATCAAAAACAACGTTTTGCTTTGGCCGTGATTGTCATAGTATTGAGAGGGATACACTTCTCGGTCAGGTCTTCAATTCACGTCTTTAGAAGTTTCCCCATATCAGTAGAGATCCTTCTCAAATCTGTGTTAATCTAGTTGGCCTCCAATGATAACAGACCCTTCAATGGCATCTGTCACTTTGCTTTCCTTCAAGACAGTCCCCAGGGTGGCACAGGCTGTGCCAGACTGAAGAGCAATGACCATCACTGACCCTCCACTGTAGCCTTCAATCACTTCTAATTTGGTTTCGGGTCAGTGATTTAAAGTGGCTTCTTTCTGGCACATTAGCAATGGATTTCACATGGTTAGGGAACATGAGGAGCTAAACAACATGAGGTGAAAGTGAACACAAATGAGAAAAAACCCCAGCAAGATATGCAACGAACCCAAAGTGTATCAGGCTGCATCAGGCATCTTCATCCACGAGGTCCATGGTTGACCAAAACACTGGGATGCGACACATGACTGTGATAAGTATCTGAGAGCAACTAGACAAGAGGAGCCACAGTTAAACACAAATAACGATGAAGTTACATTTGCTGGCAGACAAAAAGCATGCTAGGTCATCAGCACTGAGTGCTAAAGAACAGTGTGGCTATCAGTCTCCTGCCAGCGGGTGTAATGGAGAGACCTAAACCTCCTTCCACCTTTTGGAAAAATACGATGCCAATGAAAGGCCAAATGGCTTTCCAAGGCCTTATTCCAATGCCTTCACTTCTGCTGCACGTGCCACTGGTGCAAATACAGTCTCCCTTTACACACGCATGTGCACACACACATACAGCATAGAACAGTAGAAGGTTACAGAGTGACCAGGGCACACTGAGCATTTATGGTCAGCATTTCAGAATCTGTCTTTAAAGTCCCTGTGGCTCATGCCACCTGTGGCCAGCAGCCTCACCCCAACCAACAGCAGCCTTTCCCTGACTCACCTCACCCATCTCCTCTCCTCCATTCCTTCCTCCTTCCATGTCTCCCTCTCTGGAGCATCTTATTTTCTCAGATGGAGCAGCTTGCCCCTAATTTCCTTTTGTCATTAGACCCCTGCCTGCGGAGTCTCTCCCTCCATTCTTCACATTTCCTTAAGCACAGAGTGATAGCCAGTCTTGATAACATTTTCACCCTGTGTATTAGCTTTCCAGTTGCTGGCCACTATACCTGCATCTCCAATTTGGACGAGAAAAGGTTTAATTTAGCTCACACTTTGGAGAGATTCAGTCCATGGTCAGCTGCTCCAAGGCAGGAACATCCTGGTGGAAGGTTATGTTGAATCAAAGCTGCTTAACTCATGACCGTCAGGGAGCAGAGCCGGGGAGCAGCACCAGAGATGTGCAGGAGAGGGACCACACAGAGTACCCATGGCTGTGTCTCCGGAACCTACCGGACACACCCTGGAGCATGCTCTGCTAATGTGCCAAGTGTCTCTTAACCCAGAAAGTAAGCATGCAAGCATTAATGTTCACACCCCACAGGAACAGAAAGGCCTCACACCCCTCTAACATCTATGAAAAGAGAGAATCATGAGACACAGAGAAAGCAGTCAGAAAAAAAGCAGAAGAGAAAAACAGCGGACACTGAAGACACAAGCTTTTAGCCACAACTTGCTAAAGGACTGAAGGTCAACATCAGGTCCTGACAATATATCTGACTTCCATTTACATATGCATACTCATATTTAAAATAACAACCATAAGCTGATTCTAATTTTATTCTGTACAGAACGAGAAATTCCCAAAGGATGTTTTGCTGTCTTTACAGAGCTTCGGGTTAAAACTTTATGTTGCAGCTTTCTGTTGCCGTGACAAGATAATTGAGATGAACAACTTACAGAAGGAACAGTTCTTTTTGGCTTATGGTTTCAGGAGATTCAGTCCATGGTCACCCGGTCCTGTAGCTTTGGAGCTTGTGTTAAGACAGCACATGCGAGAGGAAACCTGCTCACCCCATGGCAGCTGGGAAGCAAAAGAGAAAGAGAAGGAACCAGGCCTCCAAGCACCCGTTTCTATCACACATCACTAATGACCCAGACTCTTCCCATCAGGTCTTACCACTCAGTAGACTAAAGGCTGGAGACCAAGACTTTAACACATGGGCCTGCTGGGGACATTGAAGATTCATATTATAACAGAACTGAAGACATCATTGTGGACTGATTTCTAAAACAGATGGGCCATCGCTAGTGATTTGAGTCAAGTCCTGATTCTCAGTATGCAGAACAAACAAGGAAACATCCTTAGAAAAAGCTGCTGATTCCTTTTTCCTATAGGGGTTGCTATGTGTCACATAAAATGCCATCTGTCACACAAAAAAATAACATTTGATCAAGAATCCTTTTTAACAAGCAAATAATCTTGGTGGGATATTATTCAGCTCCAAAAAAGAAGGAAAGTCTCTCATTTGCAGCCACATGGATGGAACTGGAGAACATCATGCTCAGTGAAATAAGTCAGACACAGAAAAACAAATGCCATGTGTTCTCACCTACGTGCGGAAGTTAAAACACTGACCTTATAGAAGTTGAAAGGTGCCTTGGAAGTAGGGGAGAAGGAAAAGTGCGCATGGTTAATAGATACAGAGGTCCAGTTACACATAAGCAATAGCTCACAATGTTCCCCAGGGAACATTAGTTAGGGGTGGTATCATTTAACTGTAAAGTTCAAACACAGCTATACAGGAGGATTTTGAAATTTTGCAGCACAAAGTAAGGTTGGAGGTGAGGGATGTACCAATAGCCCTTATCGATTATACTACATCATATACATGGATCAAGAAGTCATGCTGCACTGTGTGACATTCACATATATATTAGTGATACCGAAATCCTGTCACTAAAGCAGAGGTCCTCAAACTGTGGCCTCCTGCAGCATGAGCTCGCTCCATCTCCGGGGAACAGTTCAGAAACACAGTTCCCTGGGTGCCCTGACCTACTAATCAGAGACTCTAGGCTGGGAAAAGCCACCCACGTGCTCTAGGTCCCTGCTGGCAACTGACTCGATCATTTCCCCAGACCACACTGGGAGAACCGCTGCTCAAGCCAGCATCCCAGCATCGCTGAACTTATCTGAAGACTGGGCCTTTAAGAAGAGTCAATCCAGGTCGTCCCTCCTCCCAAACTTCTGCTCCCTGGTATTACCCAAGAAATACAAAGTATTCAATGCACTTGTTAATTCAATTAATTAATCCAATTAATTCAATGTGTTTGTTTCCTTTCATTGGTAATTAAATTCCATCTACCACTGGGAAAAAAATCTTGAAGGTGACTTTAGTTCCTGTTTAGCCGTTAACCAGAATAGCTGATTGACCTAGCAAGCTAGGGCAGGTGTGGCCGGCCAGGATCAGTGGTGTTCCCCACTGCTGCTGGACTCTGCTGGTCTCACCTGTCTCTGGTTCTCTGAAAGGAAGGTGGAGCTGGGGAGGGGTGGGGCAGCAGGAGTGAGTAACGGTGCTGTCCCCAAGCAGAGCAGCAGAGGTCCGTGGGAGACAGAGAAAAGCATCTTGGCTTCCAAAAGACAGTGGGAGGTGACATTCATGATCTCACCAAAGACCAAGCAATCAAGCCAGCTATAAAAGGGAGTCCCTGCCTTCCTACCCCATCACCCCCTTCCGCCAAGCCAAACCCAGAAACAGACCAGGGCTTCCTTCTCAGGACTGCTCCCACCCTGTCTCCAGGGAGAGCATCTGCGTTCCCCAGCCAGCCTTGTTCTGCTGAAATCCCAACGTCAGCAGTGGCGCCAAAGCCCGGGGACCGTCAAATGCGAGTAGGCTAGAAACCACATCCCAGGTCCCACATGTCTTTCTGCGGCCCTCAAAATGCCAAATGCTGCCCACTGGCACCAGCTGGGTTCCTGGCTCACAGCACATAGCAGGAGCTTTCAGGGAGCTGAGGCTGCAGATGCAAAACACACGGTGGCCTAGGAGCCGGGGCTCCAGGAGGCTGCTGTGCAGAGCCTGGGGCCTTCACTGACTCCATCCCAAGAAAGCAGAAAGTCAACATGCACCAGCCCCAGACCAGCCTCACCCTGAGACTCCAACTGCCAAGGGTCTGGGCCCTGTATTCAAATGCACCTACCATGGCCCTTGGCTTCTCACAGTGGGTGCCCAGGAGCCCATGAATGGAGAAGTGAAACTGGACATGCACCCAGGAGGAAAGAGGGGAAAGAGGAAGAGTCCGTGGGCCTTACTACTGTTTCCGTTGTTTCTCCTTCGGTCACACGCAGACCCTCACTATGACCGGGTTTGTGGCCGCCCTCCTCCTCTGGACCCTGGTTTCTCCTGGCAGCAGTGACTGGGGCGGAGGCTCGGCGTGGCCCACACACACAGCCTGCAGGAAGGAGGGCTTGGAAGTGCTGTACCAGAGCTGCGGTAAGGGCTTCCCAGGGAATCTGGGCTTCTGGGGAAATGAAGGCCGGCGGACTGGGTTGTGGAGGAGCACTTTGTCAACCTGCAGTGAGTCTGTGAGGACCACTAGGGACCCTGGGGAGGAAGAGCTGGGAGGGGTCAGGGAACCTCATGAGAGAGCAATGAAAAGAGCAGGAAAGAAACATCAGGGCTCCAAACAGAGCCACTCCCAACCCCTCTCACAATGCCCAGGAAAGAAACAAGATGCCCCAAGTCTTCCAAGTGATGAAAATCACAAAAAGATGCCTTTAATAGATCTTTCCCCTAAACTTTACACCAGAGATAGATCTCCAGGATGTTAAGTTTATAAGTTGGGATAAAATGTCACTGTTGTCCAAAGATTCCCATCCTTCCCTGCCACTTCGAGCTCCTAACCAGCATTGTGTCCTGTCACGTTGGCAGGCACTTGGGGGAAGGTATCGATGCAGGGGTTTCTGCAGCACCAGACATGCCAGACGTGAGGGCTGTGGTTTGAATGTGTCACCCGAAAAGCATGTGTTGGAGGTATAACCCCAATGGGACTGATCTGTGAGACAGGACACCACGAAGGGTGATCACGATAAGAGGACTCTGACCTCAGGGGTGGATTGGTGTCATCACACAGGAACCTAGGGCTGGCTCATGAAAGGCATGGCACTATGAAATCTGACAGTTTGGAAGGCAAATGCTGGGGGATGGAGGAAGTGGGGATAAAATGCCATTTAAGCGTTCAGCTGGGGCGCAACAAAGATGGGACCCTGGGGCATGCAGCTGGCCCCAATGATTGCCAGCCAAAAGCTGGCCCAGGGGATCTGGGTGGTCCATCTGGATGCCAGGGCCATTTGCATAAGTTGTTCTAGTCCTTTAAAAAGAAGGAGTCTTGAAGTGCATGAAACATTAAAACAAGTGAAAGAATGAATGGCTGGATGGTGGACGTGCCCATTTTGTCACTCTTGCTTGTCCCATGGGGCAGGATGCAGCATGCTGCCGTCCCATTGGTGTTAGGTGTGAGATGATGACAAGACTTGAGATGCCCAGCTGGTCAGTTCTTGTCTTTCCAATTCATCCTTGTGTAAAAATTGCTTACGACTAGTCTGTCACCCAGACTCAACTTCAGACTCCAGCTAACCCTGGCCTGCTCTTTCAAACCCACTGGCAGCAGAGCCTAAAGCCTGGGGATGTCGGGAAAGATCAAAGACAAATTCCCCATCCGTCAGGGGCTGGTGCTTCCTTCTAGAGGTGGAGTCACTCCACAGAGCCACTAAACCTCAGAGACCAGCCCTGTCCCAGGCACCCGTAATAAGGAGTCCAAGAAACATAGTGTCTTCCAGGAGCACTGTGAAGTGAGCCAATGAAACCACAGAGAAAGTCTGTCACAGAGGCGGGCACATGTATCGGGGATATAGTGGTTCATGAGAGTGAGGTTGGTGTTCAGTCCATCAGTGAAGAAATCATTAAATTAATGCCTAAAGAAGTAAAAACGGGCATGAAACATCCCATACTCAAGCAGCATTTTCTAGAATGTGCCAGGCACCATGCCACATGCTTGGTATGCACTGTTTTTGTCTTACAGATGTGTAAATTGAGGGTAGGAGGGCCTATATTCTTTGAGAAATTCTCTATAACTATTATTGTTATCATTATGCTTTCCTTTTATGGTGCTTTGATAAGCACTGAATGGCAGAAATCTTAATTATATTTTTCTGGTGAAAGCCTCAAATATAGTTCTAAATGACTACACTTTGGACGCCCTTTCAGTCTGATACTAACAGGCAATCTTACCAGGTAAGTGGTGCATAGTATTGGTCTAAGGCAGGTCTCCTCAAACTCTAGGCTCAATCCACAGGCCAAGTCCTATTTGATGCCTGTTTTTTGCAAGGTCTGCGAGCTAAAAATGGTTTCCACATTTCTTCCTGATTAAAGAATTCAATTAAGAACAATATCTGCATTTATTTTTCAGCTTTCCATCATTAAAAAAATCTCTGAGATGACTGGTTTATGAAAAGAAAAGGTTTATTTGGCTTATAGGGTTAGAGGTTTATGTCCATGATTAGTTGATCCTATTGCTTTTGAGCTGTGGCAAAGCTTCCCAGCACAGCAGGGAAGTGTGGCCAGGAAGTGGAAAAGAGAGCAAAGCCTCAAATCCCCCTTCAGGGGCACCCCCAGTGACCTAACTTCCTCCCCGTAAACCCCCAGCTCTTAACGTTTCCACCACCTCTCAAAAGCACCAAGCTAGAGACCAACACATGGCTCTTTGGGGAACATTCAAGATTCAAACTGTAACACTGTTATATATAGGAATTATATGAAACTCAAATTCACATGTCCATGTCACATTTACTGGAACACAGCTCTGTTTATTCTGTAATGTATTATCTATGGCTATTCTTGGCTATAACGGTACGGTTAAGTAGAATGACCTTGATTCGAGCCTAAGTGTTAACCATCTGGACCTTTATAAAAGTAGGTGGTCAGTGGTAGGAAGGAATCTCTCAAGCTGTTTATCATAGTCTCAGATTCTGCATCTTCCAGATAATTCAACCCACAGAGAGTCTCCATAGATGAGCAAACGACTCCAAACCACCATGATTATGGGAATGTGGATTCCTTTTAAAAATGAACATTTCATAATAATCTCTTCCATTTACGTGCCATTTAAAAATTTATAAAGCCTTTCCACTGGTAAATCTTCATTTAACTCTTATAAATAGGCCAGTAAGGTAGGTAGGATATTTATCTCCATTTTCTATATGTAGAAACTAGAGTGTATATTTAAACAAAGTAATTCCCTGAGCCATGATATAAAACTACATGTTCTGACTCCATGCCCAGTGATTTTAAAGCCCTTTCTTGGAATTCTAATAGGGAGCAGTCCATGCTATTGGATCCCAGAAACACAGAATTGGAACTGGGAAAGCAAAGCTCAAAAGCAAGTGTTTAGTTAAGGCAGAAACCCCAAGAAGTCTGTGGACCAGCAAGAGAGGAAGAGGAGGAAGAAGGAGAGAGGAGAAAGAGGATGGAGCTAAAGTGATGCAGATCAAAGAGAGACAGTGTATCAGTCAGGGTTTACTGGGGAAACAGGTGTAACACAGGACACACAAATGTGTAAGAAAATCCAGGACTGACTTAAGATGGTCAGCCACAGAATTGGATGAGGAAGTACAGAGAGGGCGTCTGCACGCTAGAGGCTGAAGGGCATCCATCAGTCCCTGCAGTGGCCAGAAGGAAAGATCACAGCGTCTACATTTTCCAAACATGTGCACCAAGTTACCTTTCGCTGCAAGGTGGTGTCTGGAAGGGACACAACCCAAAAGAAAGAAGTAGACTAGGGACCATTCGCTTATCAGTGACAACAGCATTTTTACAAAGTTCTGTGCAGTTGGGGTGCTTATTTCCTAAAGGAGCTACCAAGGTTTGAGCCTGACAGACCCCTCCCAGGGACTTATTACGGTGAAGGCTTGGTTGCTGATGAGTTGGTAGGAAAAGAGTAGGTCCTGAGTGACCTAACTTCCTCACTGGGTTAACCTAGCAGTGGGAGCCTAATACGATATCAGGAAGTGATGGGGAGAGGACGTAGGATGATGACATGACAGTGGGTCAGAGGACTCTATCTGATCTCCTGTCCTCTCTCTCTCTCTCTCTCTCTCTCTCTCTCTCTCTCTCTCTCTCTCTCCCCCTCCTTCTTCCTTTTCCTCTTCCTCTTCCTCTTCCTTCTCTTCCCAGTGCCATGAGACAGAATACTTTGCTCCCCTGTGCCCCTTTGCCGTGATGCTCATCCCACCTCGATGGCAGCAGCTGGCCATGGTTGGAAAGCTCTGGAGCCATACACCAAAATAAGTCTATCCTCTCTTCATTTTCCCATGTATTTTCTCACAGCACTGAAAAGGTGACTTACACAGAAGCCCATTCCCCATGTGTGACCAATATCCTCTGCAGAGCAGGCAGTGAGTGGAGAGGGAAGGCAGACCTGCCTTGGGTGATCTCGTGGGACCTGGTTGGCCTCTGAGAGTTTCCGGGGTGGTTACCATGACACCTGGTCACCATGCTCCAAACTCGTAACCAGCACCTGCTCTCCTGTCCTTGAAGGCAGCCAGCCTTGTCTACATTTGCTTAAAAAAAGTTTCGCATGTTGTCAAAGTTTGCTACTAGGCAGGCAGTTTTTCTGACCTCCAAAAATCCCTTTAATTACAAAGTCTAAATCAAGTCATGTGCCCTTGACTAATCCATCAAGGTAGTCAACAGGATGATTAATGAGAATTTTAGAATGCAAAACAGTGCTGGCAATAGCTCCAAAATAGAGGGTAAGCTAAAGATGACCCGGCCACAAAGCAGCACCAACAAGGTACACTGAAAAAATGATCCACAGAAAAGTGTTTCAAACTGGCCCTGGGAGTTTAAAATACCTAAAGAGTAGAAAAAAAACCTATCATCCTCAGAGCTTCATAATTCTGAAGTACATGGAACGTAAAACAAACACAAAAGAAACAACATTAAAAATCATAGGCTAAATAGTCATTAAACAATACTTTTAAACCGCTCACACAGAAAGCATTTTTTCTGTTTATTTACACAGATAAACAGAGTAAATTACAACTAAGGAAAAATGGACACACCCCCAGAGAGACAGAGATGCAATTCCAGAGTGATAGCTTTGGGCATGCAGGACTGAACCGGAGCAGGGCAGGCTTTTTGGCTCAAATCTAAAGACAGGAAGTTGATGAAGAAATACAAGTGTGTCAACACTGAGATGCAGACTTTTTTTTTAAGAACTAGTGGAACGTGAACTAATTGTGGGAGGGAAGTGATTCCTGTAGGTGTGTGTTTGGGGGGTCCAGCCCCTGGCACCCCCCACTATTTATTGGGGGTAACTATTTTTTAGCTGAACCTCCGAATCCTAACCACTAAATCCTCCTAACCACTAACACAAGACGCCAAGTAGCTTGGTGAACAGGGACCTAAAGAGAGGGAAGAAAGCCAAGTCTGTG